ATCGATTAAAATTCCTAATTTAATCGATTAATTCTCTATGGTACAGAACATCAGCTTTCTTCAACGGCTTTATTTTCCTCAGCCTATTTAATCCCTCATTCTCCTTCATTTCAAGACACACCTCTTGCACTCCAATATATTTCCTTGAGCTATTCATCCTTTGCTTCATCTTCCTCATCACAATATTATTTTTGAGAGTTAGAAATATTTTTTCTTTGAGTGCTATAGAAGTTGTCATCCATAGAGCTTAAATCTTTCAACACTACTTTGCTCAATTGTGTGAGCTTTCATTCTTGTGTTGTAAACCCAATCTCATTTGAGTGTTGTTCTTAAGACTTGTGTGACTCAAGTCTTGTTGTTGTAAGAAAGTGAGGCTTGTGTGATTCAAGTTCTCAAGTTGTACCGGTTTTTCAAGCACCCGTTGAAGCTTGAAGATTAGTAGGACTTTCGAGAGAGTCTCTCGGAGGACTGGACTAGCCACGAGGTGGTGAACCAGTATAAATCCCGGTGTTCTTCTTTCCCTTACTCTCCTTACTTATTCCTGCGATAATTTTTACGAAAAACGTACATTTTTGAAAACAACTCTATTCACCCCCCCTCTAGAGTTGCACATTTGTCTAACAGACTTCCAAACAAGGAAAGTTTTAGCCTTAAATCCCTTCCAACGGTCAGGTCCCTACATCGATGTTCAATACTTGAACATCGCTATTTAGGTCTGACTTTGAAGGTGGAGTTTTAGCCTGACAGCGATGTTGCTGGGTCAACATCGCTGTCCAAAAACTTTCTGCCAATGCACTATATTTTTGGCTTAGGTTGGACAGCGCTTTAGGGAAGGCTACACCGCTGTTCCAGATGTTTCTGGAAACCCAACCTTGGCTCAACAGCGATGTCTAATTTGCAACATCGATGTTGGAAGACTTAACGCCAAACCATCGTATGTTCTCCAAAACAAAAACCAAGTATTGAAAACATTTGTTTATTGTATTTTGCTAAGAAATCAGGTAAAACAACTCAAAAACCATGTCATTTAGTTGAAAATCACGGCTAACCAAGTTTGTGTCGTTTCGCATGGTTTTCACTAAACGACAAAAAACGGAAGGTGGTTTTTGAAGCGTTTTGGTTGGAGAACTGTTTAAATATACCCAGAAGTAAAAATCAATCATAAAAAGTTGAAAACCACTTGGTTGGTTTGGATGCCAAAAACCAATGCCGAAAACCGAAAGCCGAACGCCGGTTTCTAAAAGCCGAACGCCGGATGACTTGGTTTTTGGTTTGGGCGAACTCCAAGTGTTTTTAGCCATGTTTAAAAACTTATGAAAAACATTTTTGAATTTGCAAAAAGGGTTTTGATGAATTGAGCCTAGAGAGCCAAGATTTGGAAGTTTGTGCCGGTCTTGATCACATTAAGACCGACTCAATGCAAGTCTAATTCTTTGTTCTTGATTCTTGGTTCTCATGTAATCATCCCATGTTTCTTCGCCTTGGTTTTGCTCACTTTAGCCTTGTTGTGTCACGGCGGTTGTGCATTATCAAAACCTGTCATAAAAACGAACACAGTTTAGTACGACGTAGGCGTAAACCCATGTTCCAACAATTTCCCCCTTTTTGATAATGGCAAACAAGACGGGGATATGCATACTAAGGGATATTTGATTTTCAAAAAGTTGTGAAAAAGTTCCCCCTTAATTTGTGCTTAAAAGAAATTAGTCGGATTAAAATCAAACGGTCTTGATTTTAGAGGCGTTCCCCCTTAGTATATGCATAGCCCTTTTCTTCCCCCTTTTGACATTAACAAAAAGATAAGAGATAATTTTATTTATTAAAGGGAAAAGGCGGAGTACAATGGAAATAAGAATAATAAGAAGCAAGACAATTGAAGAAAGAAGAGATAAAAATTCTAGGTGTGGCCTAGTCTTCGTCTTCGGTTTCCTCCTCGTCGTCGTCGTCGTCCATCTCATCGCTGTCAACAGCGTCATCGAACTCGTCCTCGTCCGGGGAGTTTGACGGGGCGTAGGAGCCATCCTCTTCGTCCTCGTCACCGTACACTTGCCCAAGGAACGTGCCTTGGTACGGTGGGGGGACGTAGTTGACGCGTTGGAAGTATGCGTTCATGGCGTGTCCTTGGCGTTGAACAGCCTCGTCGAGCCGCTCAAGGTAGCCATCCATCCCGTCAACTTTGAAGTGAAGCCGGTTGAGGGAGTCGGCGATGGAGGCAAGGTTGGCCCGGGCCTGGGGTTCGGCTGGGCCAGCAGCAGAACGGCGCCGTGGCGCGGCAGTGGCAGGTCCGGCGTTGTCCGACCGCTTCTTGAAGGTTTGGGTGCTGATCGCCCAAATCTTCGTGGCCTTCGTGAGTGGGCCAACGGTGGTGGTCATCTTGAACCGTTCAAGGATGTCCATCACCACGAACGGGTACGGGAGGAGGTGATCGTGGACGCGGAGACTGTCATGTTGATCATGACAAACTTCGCCCAATTGATTGGCGCCGAGTGCATGATCGCATGGAGGAGCTTGAGGTCCTCACCGGACATGATCGTGTGCCCATGCTTCCGGGGCTTGATGATTCGGGACACGATGTAGAGAAGAAGCCGGCTCTCGGGGTTTGCAGAGTGGATGGTGGGGCGGCCCGAGGCATGGCGGATGAGCTCGGTGATGCCAAGCTCGTTGAGGATAAGGCCCTCGTTTTTGAGCACCCAGTCCTCTCCGACATAGTGGGAGACGTCGCCGCCTTGGTAGGGGAGGCCGGCGATGCGCCCAAGCTGCTCAATGGAAAGCTCTATCGGCGTGCTTTTGACAAGAGAGTAGAGCACGTCGCCCTCACGCCGGAGGTTGGAGTAGAAGACCCGAATCAGCGCCGGGTTGATCTCCTTCCGAGCCCGGGAGAAGAACGGCCAAAGGCCGGCTTGGTGAAGCTGCGCGTCTAGATCGTCGTAGCCCTGCAACTCTGGGAAGCGCTCCGGGACGATCCGTGGTTGAGCCACAACCCGTTTAGAGAAGAAGGTGAGGAAACGGGTGCGCTCCTCCTCGGAATCGAACCAGAGGTACGATCCGTCGCCATAGTAGAGGCGCTCCTCGGAGTTGGTTGCCGGTGCCCGGGATTTGGCTTTGGATTTGCTGGAAGCTCCTGCCCTGTTCTTATCTTTGCCCATGATGAAGAATTCTAAAAAAAGATTAGAGAAGACAAAAATATGCAAGGGAATGAAGAGATTTGTGTTTGTGTGTGGAGAAGTGAGGAGAGGAGGCTCCAATATATAGGAGAAGAGAAGAGAGTTCCAACGTTCAAAATTCAAAAAAATGGCTGTTGGAGTAATTAATGCCCATGCCAACGAGTATTTTTTTTTTTTGAAAAATTTGACTGAACAGCGATGTTCTACAGGCGACATCGCTGTTGGGACAGCGCTGTTGTGCCTTGTACAGCGCTGTTCTGCGTCAAGTTTTAAGAAAAAACAGGAGTCAAAAGGACAGCGATGTTGACTATCCTACAGCGATGTTCCAAAAGTTTTTGGAATTGTGTAAGGGTTTGAACCCATTAGAACAGCGTTGTTGGGTTTCTCTACATCGCTGTTTTACGATAGAGGAAAAATTTGTAAAAGTGGACAGCGCTGTTGCAAAGGTGGACAGCGCTGTTGCAAAACTTTCTGGTGTTGTTTGAAAACAAGGTATAAGGGAAAGGGATCGCTGTTGGCCTCGTGTACAGCGCTGTTGGCAAACTTTTTGGTTGACGTTGTTTCTCTCAACAGCGCTGTTGGGTCTCCTGGACAGCGCTGTTTGCATGGTTCCCCCTGATTTCATGAACGGGGTACCTGCAAAAAAAAAGAAAAAGTTCTGTGACGCTCAAGTTAGTAAACGTTTAATAAGTTTAGATGCACAACTTAGATCATCGTGGAGTCAAGGATTCCGAGTTCACTTCGAATGCGGAAGAACGACTCTTTCTCTAAAGGTTTTGTGAAAATGTCGGCTAATTGGTTGTGTTTCAACAAACTCAATTTCGACATCACCTTTGAGAACATGATCTCTAATGAAATGATGCCTAATGTCAATGTGTTTCGTCCTTGAGTGAAGAACGGGGTTCTTCGTCAAGCTTATGGCGCTAGTATTATCACAACGAAGAGGGACGTGATTGATACTAAGGCCATAGTCCACGAGTTGTTGCTTCATCCACAGGATTTGAGCACAACAACTACCGGCGGCTACATATTTCGCTTCGGTTGTGGATAACGCAACACTGACTTGTTTCTTGCTAAACCATGAAACTAAAGAGCTACCAAGTAAGTGGCAAGTCCCACTTGTACTTTTACGGTCCAATTTGCAACTGGCATAGTCCGAGTCGGAATAGCCAACGAGATGACAAGAAGAGCCTTTTGGATACCACAGTCCAACGTTAACTGTGTCGGCAAGGTATTTCATGATCCGTTTTACCGCCGTTAAGTGCGATTCCTTCGGACACGATTGATACCTTGCGCAAAGGCATGCGCTAAACATGATATCCGGCCTACTAGCGGTAAAATAGAGAAGGGATCCGATCATACCTCGATACTTTTTGAATTCTACTTCCTTACCTTTCTCGTCTTTGTCAAGATGGTCAGACGTGCTCATTGGGGTCGCCATGGCTTTGGCTTGTTCCATTTCAAATCGTTTTAGGAGCTCCTTGCAATACTTAGCTTGGCAAATGAAAGTGCCATCTTTCATTTGCTTGACTTGGAGTCCGAAAAAGAGTGTGAGCTCGCCCATCATTGACATCTCAAATTCGCTAGTCATTAGCGTTGAGAATTCCTAGCACAAAGACTCATTAGTAGCACCGAATATAATATCGTCTACATAAACTTGAACCAAAAGGATGTTATTGTTTTTACTCTTGATAAAAGTGTGGTGTCTACCTTTCCCCTTTGGAAGCCACTATCCAAAAGAAATTTACTCAAACGTTCGTACCAAACACGGGGTGCTTGTTTAAGACCGTAGAGCGCTTTCTTGAGTTTGAAGACATGATCGGGAAACTCAAAGTCTTCAAACCCCGGGGGCTAGTCAACATACACTTCCTCTTTACTCATGAGGCACTTAGCAAAGCCGGAGGGAGATTTTTCTAAGTTAACCATATAAATGTTATCGATTCTATCACCACGTAGAGTGACCTTATTGTCACTAAGGCATTCTACCATGCATGATTTTGAATCGAAGGTCACACGGTTTCCCTTGTCACATAATTGACTTATGCTCAAGAGATTGTGTTTAAGACCTTTAACAAGCAAGACATTATCTATAGAGGAGTTTTCAGATTTACCTACTGAACCAACGCCGATGATCTTTCCCTTGCTATTATCTCTAAAAACTACGTTTCCTCCTTTAGCGGGTTTGATTTGGAGAAACTTGGATGCATCCCCGGTCATGTGCTTGGAGCATCCGCTATCAAGGTACCAAAGTACACTTGATGCCTTCAAGCACACCTATGAAACACATCAATGAGTTTTAGGTACCCAATTTACGTTGGGTCCTTAGGTGTTAGGTGTGTGATGGTAGTGTGCTTGATTTTGTGATAGGTGCCTATGCCTAGTGTAGCAAACGGGAGCAATATGACCTATCTTATTACAATAATGGCAAACTACATTGGGGTGGTACATATGCCTAGGTTCATAATAGTTCGAAGGCTTAACCATTTTGTTCCTATTTTTTGAAAATGATGGTTTTTGGAAATTTTGAAACTGGCCTTTTCTAGGTGCTCTAGCATTATTTCTTCTAATTTGAGAAAATTCATTTTTACGCACAAAATCAGTTTTCTTAGGTTGTCTACCAAGACCATTTTCATTCCTAGGTTTTAGTCTAGGTTGTCTAGTGTCCTTAGGTTGACTAGGTTTTCTATTATCTTGATTTTTAGGTTTCTTATGTTGAACCTTAGATGATTGTCTAGGTGGTGGCTCAACATTATCTTTAGCTTTATTTTTATCAAAACCTATTCCTTCCTTAGAAAAATGCATAGTGTCAAGAAATAAATTTAAGTCTTTGTGAGGAGTATTAAATTTCTAGACCGTGCTCTAAAGTTTAGCGACTTGCTCTTTTAAAGTTTTACAAGACCCACATTCACTTGATGAGCTTTCTGGTTTGTCAGCGCTTCTTTTTCCAAAAAATTTGTTTTCTTGTTTAAGTATTTCATTTTCTTTTTCCAATTTTTCAAAATCGTTTTCAAGTGAGGAAAGACGTTTCTTCAAAGATTTATTTGTTTTAGAAGCGCTAAAAAATTCCTCATAAAGTTCATGAAGTGCTTCTTGCATTTCTTCAAAAGTATAGGAGTCGGAAGAAATGGTACATACCTCTTGGACGTCGTCGTTTTGATCTTCGTGCGCCATGAGGCAGAGATTTGCAGCTTCGTCCTCCTCTTGGTCGGTTGATTCGTCGCCGGAATCGCCACCCCAAGAGATGTAAGCCCTTTGTTTCTTGAAGCCGGGCTTATCCTTGCCGTGTTTCGCTTTTGGACACCTTGGCTTGATGTGGCCAATCTCGCCACAGCCGTAGCACTTGGGAGGACCGTCATGCTTCCTTCCCTTCCGCTCAAATTCCTTCTTCATGAACTTGTGGAACTTCTTGGTGACAAGTCCAAATTCGTTGTCATCATCGCTTGAAACCTCCTCTACGGTCTCCTTGGTTGCTTTGAGCGCTATTCCTTTCTTCTTTTGTTCATCCAAAGACGGGGTTAGAATAGTAGATTCATAAGTTTTGAGGTTACCTCTTAGCCCGTCGATGGTGACATTGGAGACTCCGATGGACTCGTAGATTGCATCGGCTTTTAACCTCCATTTGGGTGTGAGACTCCGAAGGATTTTCCTCACGAGATCCTTGTTGGCGTAAGTCTTTTTGAGAGCATGAAGGTCGTTGATGATCTTTGAGAACCAGTCGAACATGTCATCGATTTTCTCACCTTCTTTCATTCGGAACATTTCGTACTCTTGGGTGAGAAAATCGATCTTGGCTTCACGAACTTAATCAGTACCTTCGTACGTCACTTCAAGCTTGTCCCACATCTCCTTGGCGGTTGTGCAGCAGGAGATTTTCCGGTAGTCATCGGGGTTGACCGAACAATATAGCATATTGATGGCCTTTGCATAATTCTCAATCTTCTTGATGTCCTCGGCATCAAACTCATCTTCGGTCTTGGGGATCAACTTGTCGTCAACTTTCTTCATCGGAATTTCCTCTCCGTTTTTGATGACTAACCATAATTGGAAGTTGGTGGAACGGATATAGATTCTCATCCGTTCCTTCCAATAGGAATAGTTGGTGCCGTCAAAGAGTGGTGGCCTAGAAGTTGATTGACCTTCTCCAATTCCTGCATAGAGATTTCTAGAAGAAGAACCCATGATCGCTTTACTCTCAAACAGTTAAGTTTGGACGCAAGTTAGGCTCTGATACCAATTGTTAGAATAATAAACCAACGCTAGAGGGGGGGGTGAATAGCGTTTGATCAAAAAATCGCAGGAATAAAAAGTGAGAAAACGAGAAGTAAAGAGAAGAGTAAGAGGCACACCGATTTTACCCTGTTGTACCCCACCATGCATCACAAAAGGGTAAGAAAAATCAGGGGTTAATGCTTGAGTGTTATAATCCTTATTGGGTTGAATTCATTCCTTTTTCCCATCAAAAGGCCCAACCCTTAGCCCTTGTTGCCCAAAATCCCCCCTAAACTAAATCATAACCCACAAACCCTCTCCCACAACATCCAAACTCATTTCCTCTGTCCAAAATAAAGTCTTTGTTATTCATTACTAAGCCTAGGCCGAAGGTGAACATCAAAAGACAAAACAAAACCTTAGCTTGCTATTTTTCTTCTGTTAAAGTCTTGATAATCGATTATCCAATATAGATAATCGAATATTGTTTCCCTCTGATTTCTCCTAACATAGTCCAGCAATGCTCCGTAATCGATTATCTACCAACTAATAATCGATTATTATTCATCTCTGAAAATATCCAGTTTGGAAGCCAGTCTTTGATAATCGATTGTTTCTAAAATGTTAATCGACTATTGGACAACTCTGAAAGTTCTGGGTTAGAAGACATAACTTATTAATCGATTATCAGTAGGCGATAATCGATTATCACACTGCTCTGAACTCAGAAATCAGTAAAGTGGTCTTTGAATTAACAGTAAAGGTTTTGTCATTTAGGAACACACTTGGCTACATACCATTCCCACTATATATGGACGAAATTCCCATGTTATTACTCAACAAAATCAAAGGCTTTTACAATACAAAACAAAGCTTAATCCCTCATCCATGTGCCTGCCCAAAAAGTCTTTGATTGAATAGTAATATCTTGTCCTATTACTCACTAAAAGTCAAGCCANTGATCATTAGCCTTGAATTCAACTCATTTGGGATATTAACACATGCACAGCATTTGTTTTATTTTTTAGGAAAGAAGTGGGAAGTTTCCTTTGTTGTATTTTATTTAATCATGATTGTTGTATTGTTTTCTCCATTCCATGGCCTATATATTTCAGCCCTGGATCAATGTATAATCAGCTTGTAAAAATATATATTGTGATAATATAAGTTTCTTGCTCAGCTCTCTCTCTTTCAAAATCCTATATATTAAATCCTAATTCTATATCTTAAGAGTGGTTCTCTTAAGTGGGAGTTTTAGGTTCTAGATATATTAAATAAGTTGAGTGATTCCTTATTTAAATACTAGAGTTTAACCCGAGTGAAGATAAGTGTGTGTGATTCCTCTTATTATTCACTTGATAAATGCTTCTTTCCCTCTCCCTTGTTTTCTCCTGAATTCAGCCTTCCCTATATTTCTACACCTTCTCTTCTTCTTTTACTTCTTAAATTGATATCCTAGACCACCCCAGGTCTCGGGTACAACATACCCTGGTTCACCACAACTTGTGGCTAATCCAGCCTCCCGAGAGACTCTCTCGAGCTACACTACTATCTCGTTAAGCTTAACGGTGCTTAACAAACTCGTAGAACTTTTGAGTTCGAGTCACACAAACCTCAACGAACCTTCGAAGGAAACAACCCTTCCTTCGAACAACAAGAGAAATACTTTCTCTTGTCAAGTGTCTAAGAACTCTAAAAACACTCAAGAACAATACTCTCTTTTAGAGTGGATAATGAGTAACTAAGAACGCTCAAAAACACAACACAAGCTTCACAAAAATGGCTCTCAAAAAGCTATGAATAAAGGATGAATGATTTGCAATGGAAGAGTAGGAGTTGTGAAGTAATGTGATGATGTAAAACAGACCCAAACACCCCATTTTATAGTGGAAAAATAGGCTCCAACGGATCAAAACATTTAAGGGGTGATTGGCACAATTTGTGGGATTTGATTAAATTTGGATCTGCTGAAATTCACCCAGACAGCGTTGTCCTAGGCTTGGACATCGCTGTTCTAGGCTTGCGTTTTGAAAATTGGGAAGCAACGGTCATGCCAACAGCGATGTCCAATACTCCTACATCGTTGTTTTGGTTGTTGACTTCCAAACAAGGAAAGTTTTAGCCTTAAATCCCTTCCAACAGTCAGGTCCCTACATCGATGTTCAATACATGAACCTCGTTGTTTAGGTCTGACTTTGAAGGTGGAGTTTTGGCCTGACAGCGTTGTTGCTAGGTCAACATCGCTGTCCAAAAACTTTCTGCCAATGCACTATATTTTTGGCTTAGGTTGGACAGCGTTGTAGGGAAGGCTACATCGCTGTTCTAGATGTTTCTGGAAACCCAACCTTGGCTCAACAACGATGTCTAATATGCAACATCGTTGTTGGAAGACTTAACGCCAAACCAAGGTTTTCAGCTACCCAAGCCAGACAGCGTTGTTGGTTGCACCAACATCGCTATTGGGCTGGTTTAGCCAGACCCATGGTTGGTTTAGTCATGCCGTTAGCCGATGTCAAAAACGTAAGTTCTCCAAACCAAAAACCAAGTATTGAAAACATTTGTTTATTGCATTTTGCTAAAAAATCAGGTAAAACAACTCAAAAACCATGTCATTTAGTTGAAAATCACGGCTAACCAAGTTTGTGTCGTTTCGCATGGTTTTCACTAAACGACCAAAAACGGAAGGTGGTTTTTGAAGCGTTTTTGTTGGAGAACTGTTTAAATATGCCCAGAAGTAAAAACCAATCATAAAAAGTTGAAAACCACTTGGTTGGTTCGGATGCCGAAAACCGAAAGCCGAACGCCGGTTTCTGAAAGCCGAACGCCGGATGACTTGATTTTTGGTTTGGGCAAACTCCAAGTGTTTTTAGCCATGTTTAAAAACTTATGAAAAACATTTTTGAATTTGAAAAAAGGGTTTTGATGAATTGAGCCTAGAGAGCCAAGATTTGGAAGTTTGTGCCGGTCTTGATCATATTAAGACCGACTCAATGCAATTCTAATTCTTTGTTCTTGATTCTTGGTTCTTGGTTCTCATGTCATCATCCCATGTTTCTTCGCCTTGGTTTTGCTCACTTTAGCCTTGTTGTGTCACAGCGGTTTGGCATTATCAAAACCTGTCATAAAAACGAACACAGTTTAGTACGACGTAGGCGTAAACCCGTGTTCCAACAATATATATATATATATATATATATATATATATATATATATAAGTAAAATAAGAAAATCAGCTACACATTGATATATTTAAACTTTTTGAGATATTAAACATCTTCTCAATATCACTACTTTTTAATTTTTGTGAAAACTAAATAATCGGTATTAAAATAACCAAATATTAGAAAATATGGATGCTATTCTACAAAAATATCATATTCTATATGCATATTACATAATAATATATTTTATGTTACAAATTAAAGATTAGTTAGAATCTTAAAAACTAATATTCATTTCTCCTCTTTCAATTTTGTCATAAACTCGCCCTTGTATATATTATACCATCTTAATGTTTAAAAGTATGTTTTTTTAAGTATAAAATATTTATGGTTTTGAAAACTAATTTTTGTATAATTATTTTATAAACAAGTATCTTAAAACAAATCTTTTTATAGTATAAAAATATTACTTTTTAAGCTTTAACATTGCTTCTATGCATCATTCCTACAAGCTAATTAATTATTAAAAATAACACTTTGTAGTTGAAATAGAACAATAATAATAATAATAATAATAATAATAATAATAATAATAATAATAATAATAATAATAATAATAATAATAATAATAATAATAAAAATAAAGATTTATGTCTGTGTAGCTTTAAACAAAGTAATGTCATTTTATCAAATAATAGTAAGTATTATTTAATCATAAAAATTATAAATATTATTTTTTATATTTTTTCCTGGTGTGATATTATTGTATTTGATTTGGTCTAATCTGATTGAATCTGGTCTGATCTGTATTAGTTCCATATTGTGTTGACATTATTTTTTGACAAACGAATAGATTTACCTAGAACTATTTTAGATATTTTATTTAGACTTAGAGTTCTAGCATGTGAAGAAAGAGAAAGAGGAAAGAGCTTGAAGAAAGAAGTCTAATCCTACTTGGTTTACTATTCTTGAGGAGGAAGGCATGGTTGAGACTCCTAAGCACACTCTAACAAGGTTAATATGCTCTATATATTATCTTCACCCTCCCTTAGGTTTTTGGACGTGCAAAACTACAAAAAACCTGAAGCAAATCCGATCAAAAGAAAAAAACAAGGTGCAGATTTTGAGACTGTAAATTTTCTGGACAGCCCGCACAGATTTGATCATCGCCAGAGATCTGACCGTTGGATTTTTCTGAAATTTTCAGAGAGTGTTCCTAACACATAGGGCTTCAACGTGTTCATAGTTCACGTCAATCGGAGTTACAGATCTTCTGTTATCGAAGTTACAATCTACACATTGTTGCTGATTTTTTGCACAGAACGCAGCTCTGGTTTTGTCGATGATCGGAGTACCAAATCTTGTCTGATCGTGCTAAAATTTTAGGAGGAGTCTAAGGACTTGTGGAGATTCAATCTGAACGGTGGAGATTGAATTGCAACGGTTCAATATCGATTTATGAGCTTCAGAACAGCCTGCATATTTTTGTAGATCAAGGATAATCTTTATTTGAAGGTGTATTGGAATCTACGTCCTTGAAAAAGATCTTTGAGAAGGTGTAACAAGCCGTAGAGATAGACGCAAACCGAGTTTGTCGTAAAATCATTCGTAAGTAGACAAATCAATACATTAGAAGGTTCTGTTGTGATTGATTGTGTAATTCTTATGGTGATTTAGTGGAAGGGCTATTACACGGACGTGGGCCTTGCAGACGTAGGAGAATTTGCTCCGAACTGCGTGAACAATTCTAGTGTCTTGCTTGCTGTTTTTACTTTATATTCTACGTGTGTGCTTGTGACAGAGAAGGTGTTATAGCACTCTGTCAGTCATCTGTTACTGTGACAGTGCTGCAGCATCTTCTCTACAACTTAGTTGATTGTTTTGTTTGCATAGCTTGTGTTTGGTGTTATCCGCTGCACCCCACGAACTTACTATTGGTATCAGAGCCTGGCAAGCTTAAGTTGTTAGCTTGATTGATCTATCACCATGGGAGATATTCAAGAAGGTGCTAATGTTTTTAGACCTCCACTATTATGCGGCCATGATTATACTTTTTGGAAGTGTCGAATGAGAGCCTTTCTCAAGTCTCTTGGTGGACAGGTTTGGAGAAGCATAGAGGTTGGATGGTCAGCTCCTACTATGACCAATGAAGATGGAGAACTAATTCAGAAACCTTATGAAAGATTTAACAAGAAAGAAAAGGATGCCGCAGAATCGAATGATCAAGCCTTGAATGCAATCTTCAGAGCTGTTGACAGAAGTCAATTCCGTCTTATCTCAAACTGCACAGAGGCGAAGAGAGCTTGGGACATTTTGCTTATTACTCATGAAGGCACTACAACGGTCAAGACAGCCAAACTTCAAATCGTGATGTCTAAAATTGAAAATCTTAAGATGGAGGATGCTGAGTCTATCACAAATTTTCATGGGCGGGTTAGAGAGTTGGCAAATGAAGCTGAAAGGCTTGGTGAACCAATTATAGAAAATAAACTGGTGTTGAAAGTGCTACGTTCTCTTCCAGAAAAATACTCTATGGATGTTAAAGCTATTAGACAAACACAATCTCTCAATGTTATGTCTCTTGACGAGCTGATGGGGAACTTAGAAACCATTGAGTTGGAGATGCATGAAGATCTACGACGTAAAAAGCAGCATGTCATCCTCGTTGAAAAAGAGAAGCAGTGTGTTAAAGACAGTGCTGGAACATGCTGTGCTTTTCCAACTTTCCATAGTGTTGACGGTGACTCTGATAGTGACGTGGATCCAAAGGAGATGCTTATAATTGTTGAAGAAAAATTTCAAGAGTCTCTACGGGTCAACAAGAAAAAATGTTTGGAAAATGATAGCCTCAAACGTGAACTTGCTGAATCAAAACGCGATGTGGAACAACTCATCAAAGAGTTACGGAGATACAGAGGTAAAGTTACAGCAGAGGATGACATAGAGGATGATACAGAAGATGACACAGAGGCTGACACAGCAGAAGAGCTAGCTATTCTCCAAAGGAAGTGGGTAGAACTTGTTCAAGCCAACCAGAAAACTGTCTCGGAGAACCATCATATTGTTGCCAAGCGAAATAGACTCAAAGGGGATATTTCAGAATTAGAAAAGAAGATTGAAGAACTAAAAGGGCAACAATCAGATCTTAAGCATGAATTAAATCAACTCAAAAACTTTCACAAGTGGATGAGAAGTGATGGAGCAAAAGCTATTGAGGAACAAGTGAACGTTTCAAAATTTTATGGAGACAAGACGGGTCTTGGATTTTCAGGTTCCGAATGCAGGATCGTCTTTTTCTGGAACTTCCCACTGGGTCACCCATCCTAGGACTACTCCCGTTCCAGCACGCTTAACCACAGAGTTTTGAAGTTAAAGAGGTGTCAAATGCTTCCTAAAACCAATTGGTGATAGGAAGGTGGACACTTTGTATTTAACCATATCTCTTTGTAGCCCCAAGCCGAGGTAGATTCCTATAGGGCACCCCCTATAGTTCACTACGGCAGTGCGGAGCCCCACTACTGAGCGGTGAATGGACAGGAGGGGCTTCGCAAGATACACGACACGTGTACCTCGTCAGGTTGGGCTGTCAGTACCCGATACCGTGACTAGCACAGTAGCGAATCCCTAAGGGTGATCGATGGTCCCCCATAAGACCAACATATATATATATATATATATATATATATATATATATATATATATATATATATATATATATATATATGAATTGTAATACTTTAAACCTATGAAATTTTATAATTATTTAAGTTTAATTTAAATCAAATTTAAATTCATTTACACTAGATCTTATTAGAGAAAATCAGATCCAATCTGATCAGATCAGATTCAATCAGGTCAGATCAGACTAAATCAGATCAGATCCAATTAGATCTGATCAGACCCAATCAGATTAGAGCTAATCAGATCATATCAGACCCAATCAGATCATATCAGAACTTCAAAAATTCAGATCAAATACAATCAAATCAGGCATATTGAACAGAGCCTTAGTGGCATGGATCCCCTTTTCCACTTCCACTTCACTTTTCCTTTCAAGGATGTGGCTCATCTTCACTTCTCTTTTCCCTTTCTTTTTTTAATATTATCTTGTAACAATTAAAATAATTAAACTAAAAATATAAAATACAATTAACAACGAGAACAACCCAGTTATACCCCGCACAATTAGGGTCTGGGGTGAGTGTGTGTACGCACACCTTACTCCTACTTGAAAGTAGAGATATCGTTTCCAAGAGTCCCTTAACTCAAGTTGCACGGAACAAAAACACGAGATATATAAAACAAAAATTTAGAACAGAGAGCACACAAATAAAAAACCAAACATCTAAAAGTAGAAAAACAAAACCTAACGAAGGAAAAATACTACAAAAAGAAAAAAACAAGCAAATAAGACATACAAAACACACAACCCCCAGGCCCAAGATGCCTAGCAAACTATTGTAATCCTAGCTCTCTATAAAATTCCTATCTATGGTCATATCATCAGTAAGAACAAGAAGTCTTAGGTCCGATCGGATCACCTCCTTCAAATTTTTCTTAGGTCTACCCCTTCCCCTATTCCCTCCCACCAATGTAAGCATCTCGCATCTCCATACTGGGACGTCAGCATTCCGCCGCCTCACATGCCCGAACCACCTTAACATACCTTCCCGCAACTTATCTTCCACAGGTGCCATAGCCATTCCAAGAATTATTGCATTTGTGGGTTCGGCGATAGGTGTATCTCGCAAATACAGAAAAGGCAGAATCCAAGAATGTCACATGTAGTCGGAATAGATCCATTGTTCATAGATTATGTGAAAAAATTAAATTTAATATATGATCAATAAAAAATGATAAAAGAATATGTGTGAAAATAGTGAGTGGGAAGAGGTATTTAAGTAGATGAAAAAAATTGATTTTTTTCACCGTTAGAAACGAAAATTTGACCGTTCAATGGTCGAAAGTAATGGGAAAAATATGAGGGGAAACCTGTCCTTTCTCTTCCCGCTAGAGGGAGGCGGTGTTCCCCTTCTATCCTGCATGGCACGCGGTGCTTCCCACCCAGCGTACCCTTCCTGTCCTTTATCCTTGGAGCCTAACAAACTAGAGGATCTGATTTGGGCATGCTAAAGTTCAAGATTTTTTCAAAGAAAGCACAACTAGGGCTGAGCATCGATTGGTTTCGGTCGGGTTTCATTTTGAAACCGAGAAAATCAATTTTTTGAAAGATGGTTAAAAACCTACCAAACTGATCATTAACTAAATCGACCGAACAAAAACCAAAAACTGCCCGGAAAGAAAAATAATTCAACCTAAAATTCAAATTTTAATTACCTTTATTATGACTTCTGAATATAAATTCAACAAATTCAATCGGCAAGATAGCATAATATGTATTAAACTAGTTTAGATTAACACTGTTGAAACACGGTTTTATCATGTTTTCGTACTAAAACCGTGTTCGTTTTTATAACAGGTTTTGATAATGCCAAACCGTCGTGAACGAGACAAGTCGTTGAATATACAAGGCGAGAACCAAATATGAGAAGAAAGAGAACAAGAGCTAAAAGAGACCAAGAATGAAGACCGTAGTCTTTAGTGTCGTTGAGTCGGTCACAATTGTGATCAAGACCGACCCAACCTTTACACTTTGGCTCTTTAGGATAAAATTCTTTTCATTGCATTTCACACATCATAAAAATGGTTTTCAAACATGTTTAAAACATTAAAAACACTTGGTGTTCGCCCAAACCAAAAACCAAGCCATCCGGCGTTCGGCTTTCGGAAACCGGCATTCGGCTTTCAAAAACCGGCGTTCAGCATTCGGTTATCGGCGTTGGTTTTTGGCGTCCACACCAACCAAGTGATTTTAAACATCTTATGATTGGTTTTTACTTCTGAGCATGTTTAAACAGTTCTCCAACAAAAACACCTTGAAAACCACCTTTCGTTTTTGGTCGTTTGGAAAAAACCACGCAAAACAGCATAAACTTGGCTAGCCGTGTTTTTTACTCAAATGACGTGGTTTCTAAAGTGTCTCACTTGATTTCTTAGACAAATACATCTAATAAGTGTTTTAAACACTTGGTTTTTATTTTGTAGAACTTTGGTTTTATCGGTCGGTTTTTGCATCGGTTGCTAGGCCATGGTTCAGGCAAAAACCATGGGTTTTTGACTAACCATCCACCCAGCGATGGGAAGAACTACCCATCGATGGGTAAGCGGACTTTTAGCCCAACTGAGTTCCAGAACCATGCCAAACAGCGATGGGAAGTTCTACCCATCGCTGTTAAAGCCTTGGTCCAATATTAACACAAGGCAGAATGACCTTACCCAACGATGGGGACTTTAACCCATCGATGGGAACCCAGCGATGGGAGGGAATACCCATCGCTGGTTAAGCATGACTGTTGTAAGTCATTTAAGGTTGATTCTTTCCTTGTTTGGAAGTCAACCTCCCACCCAGCGATAGGAAGCTTGTACCCATCGATGGGTAGGTGACCGTTGGCTTCAAAACTGAAGGAAAATAGGCTTACCAGCGATGGGTAAGTCCATACATCGCTGGGAAAGCCAATATCCTGTAGATCCACATTTTAATCAATCCCATAAATCAAGCCAACCACCCCTGTAATGCCTTGGTCCGTTGGAGCCTATTTTGGCACTATAAAAAGGGGTGTTTGGGCCTGCTCTACACATCAATTCACTTCACATTACACATATCATCATTGCATCCAAACAACATTATTTTCCATAGCTTTCTAGAGCCAATTTTTTTAAGTTTGAGTTGTTTTTTGAGCGTATATAGTTTACTCAACATCTACTCTTAAAGAGAGTCTTGTTCTTGAGTGTTCTTAGTGTTGTAAACACATTTATGGAAGCTTGTTTCCCTTGGTTGTACGAACGGACCAAGGCATTACAGGGGATCCCGGCCTTGTACCAAGAGGATCCATCTTCCCTTTCCCCTTAGAATAGGTTAGGATAGGTAAGGACGAAGGGCGTCTCTCCTGTGGCCCTTCTCGAAGTGACCCGGTATGCCCAGATAATATGTGGCAATTCTTCCAACCAATTCGTTCTGGCCTCTCCCAATCGCTTCTTGATACCATCGACTATCGTGCGATTCGCACTTTCCACCTGGCCATTCCCTTGTGGGTAGGCTATGGAAGCCTTGTTGTGAGTAATCCCGAAGTCCTCCAAGTATTTTGTGAACCCCAGATTCCGAAATTGAGGCCCGTTATCGGTCACAATGTTTCGCGAGGACCCGAACCGAGTGATGATGTTCTTCCATACGAAGCGCTGGCATTGTTTGGTTGTGATGGTTGCATATGCTTCAGCCTCTACCCACTTTGTGAAATAGTCTATGGCAACCATTACATACTTCTTTCCTCCTTGAGCCTGAGGAAAGGCCCCAATGATATCCATCCCAAACCTTGCGAATCGGATGACATTGGAAACTAGATGGTAGTATGTCGCAGACCTTCCCGGAAATTTGTAGAACACCTAGCAAGTTTTGCATTTCTGGACATACTTTTCGCAATCTTGGTTCATCGTAAGCCAGAAATAACCTAGCAAAATGACCCTTTGTGCGAGTGTCCTCGACATTTGGTGGGCTGCACAAACACCCTCGTGAACTTCGGCTATCACTCTTTCTCTATGGGGGTATACCTACTTTCTGCCCCATTTAAAGCCTTGCTTACATAGTAGATGGGCCTCTGGACCCCGTCATCCCTCATCAAGACTGAGCTAACGGCCATCTGAGTCACCCCCAAGTAGAGGTAGAGTGTCTCCTTTGTTTCCGGCTTGGACAGGACAATGTCCGAAGTCAGGTACGTCTTTAGCTCTTCGAATGCCCTAGCACATTCATCATCCCACTGGAAGGTGTTGGCTTTCTTTAAAACTTTAAAGAAAGGCAAGGCCTTCTCTGCTGACCTGGACAAGAACCGATTTAGGGCCGCCAAGCGCCCCGTTAACCTCTGGACATCTCTTACCGAAGTTGGGGGTTGCATCTCAACAATGGCCTTGATCTTCTCAGGATTTGGCTCAATCCCCCTCTTTGTGACCATGAAGCCTAGGAATTTTCCCGTTCTTACTGTAAAAACACACTTCTTTGGATTGAGTCTGAGATTATTCCTGACCATAATCTCAAAACATTTTTTCAGGTCCTGAGCGTGCGTGCTGGCTGCCCTGCTCTTTACCAGCATATCATCCACGTACTCACACCCGGCGATTTCATCCACCATTTGGTCCGGGCTAGGGAGAGGGCAGGAGTCCATCGGGCATGCCTTATTGAGGTCTGTGTAATCCACACACATCCTTCAGGTATCACCCTTCGGGGCCAGGACAACATTGGCCAGCCATTTAGGGTAATTTACTTCTTTGATATGACTTACTTTAAGTAGGTCTTTGACCTCCTTCTTCACGAAGTCCCTCCGTTCACTTGCCAAGAATCTCTTCTTCTGTCTTACGGGCCTAGACCCCTCAAGAATAGAGAGACAATGGCAAATGACTGACCGGTCAATCCCGGGCATATCAGCAACACTCCAGGCAAATAAAGATTTATACCTGGTCAACACCTGGACAATCTCAGTCCTTAGTTCCTCTTGAAGATCAGCCCCTATTCTGACCTTCCTCTTAGAGTAAGAGGTATCGATCTGGATCTCCTCTGTGTTTGCATCTGACTCGATCCTAGCCTTCTCCTCACCCTTGTCTACCTGCTGGGAGACCAGTTCAATCTGTTCGAACTAGCGGGTCATCTTCCTAACCGCTTCCAGGTAACAAGACCGGGCATTCTTCTGATTAGCTCTTTCCTTCCCATTGTAAGAAGAATAGACCAACGCTAGAGGGGGGGTGAATAGCGTTTGATCGTAGAAATCGCAGGAATTAAAAAATTTAAAAGATATGTAAAGAAAAGAGTAAGAGGCACACCGAATTTACCCTGGTTTACCACAACTTGTGGCTAATCCAGCCTCCCGAGAGACTCTCTCGAGCTACACTACTATCTCGTTAAGCTTAACGGTGCCTAACAAACCCTTACAACTTGAGAATTTGAGTCACACGAACCTCAACAAATCCTTCAAAGGAAACAGCCCTTCCTTTGAATCAAACAAGAGAAATACTTTCTCTCAACGTGTCTTATAACACAAATGCACTCAAGAACGAGACTCTCTTTTAGAGTAGATATTGAGTAAACTAAATACGCTCAAGAACAACTCAAACTTCACACGAATTTGGCTCTAAAAAGCTATGGAAAAGAATGTTGTTTGAATGCAATGAAAGTAGGAGAATTGTGAAGTGAATTGATAAGAAAAGCAGACCCAAGCACCCCTTTTTATAGTGCCAAAATAGGCTCCAATGGACCAATACATTAAAGGGGTGATTGGCTTGATTTATGGGATTGAATAAATTTGGGATCTGCAGGATATTGGCTTCCCATCGATGTTTGGACTCACCCATCGCTGGTAAGCCAATTTTCCTTCAGTTTTGAAGCCAACGGTCACCTACCCATCGATGGGTACAAGCTTCCCATCGCTGGGTGGGAGGTTGACTTCCAAACAAGGAAAGAATCAACCTTAAATGACTTCCAACGGTCATGCCTTCCCATCGATGGTTTAGCCTTACCATCGCTGGGTTCCCATCGATGGGATAAGTTCCCCATCGCTGGGTAAGGTCGTTCTGCCTTGTGTTGATGTTGGACCAAGGCTTTAACAGCGATGGGTAGAACTTCCCATCGCTGTTTGGCATGGTTCTGGAAGTTGGTTGGGCTGAGGGACCCCATACCCATTGATGGGAAGTTCTTCCCATCGCTGGGTGGGTGGTTAGCCAAAAGCCCATGGTTTTTGCCTTAACCACGGCCTAGCCAACCGATGCAAAAACCGACTGAAAAATCCAAAGTTCTCCAAAGTAAAAACCAAGTGTTAAAAACACTTATTTGATGAATTTTGCTAAGAAATCAAGTGAGACACTTTAAAAACCACGTCATTTGAGTAAAAATCACGGCTAGCCAAGTTTACGCCGTTTTGCGTGGTTTTTGTCAAATGACCAAAAACGAAAGGTGGTTTTCAAAGTTTTTTTGTTGGAGAACCGTTTAAACGTGCCAAAGAGTGAAAATTAATAAAAAAATGTTTAAAACCACTTGGTTGGTTCGGAAGCCAAAAACCAATGCCGATAACCGAAAGCCGAACGCCGGTTTCTGAAAACCGAACGCCGGATGGCTTGGTTTTTGGTTTGGGCGAACACCGAGTGTTTTTGATGATTTAAACATGTTTGAAAGACATTTTTATGAGGTGTGAAATGCAATGAAAACAATTTTAGCCTAAAGACCCAAGGTGTAAAGATTGGGTCGGTCTTGATCACAATGAAGACCGACTCAACGACACTAAGACTATGGTCTTCGTTCTTGGTCTTCTTTTAGCTCTTGTTCTCATCTTCGTTCTTCGCCTTGTATGTTCAATGTTTTACTTGATCACAGCGGTTTGGCATTATCAAAACCTGTCATAAAAACGAACACGGCTTTAGTACGAAAACGTGACAAGCCCGTGTTTCAACACCCAATTCCATTGGGAGTGTAAAATTTCATGCATAAGTGTGCCATAGAAATAATGGCCCTGACCTAGTTGATCTAAGGCCTACCCAGGATGGCATTATGCACACACTTGATATCGACCACAACAAATCTCATTTGTTTGGTCACTGTTTTGTTACTCGATCCCAAGGTAACTGGTAAGGTGATCTGACCTTCCACTTCTATGCTAGCTCCAGTGAAGCCAGACAATGGAGTTTGCAGTGGTTTTAACATGGACCTATCCAGCTTTCACTTCTTAAAAGCGTCCAAGTACAAAACATTGACATTGTTTCCAGTGTCAACCAAGACTCTAGCCACATCAGCTCCATTGATGTCCATTGTAATGACCAAAGGGTCATTGTGGTCTCCCCCCGTCCTGGGCAGATCCCTATCAGTAAAAGTGATAGGCTCTCTCCTTGTTTGCTTCCCTTGCTTTCTAGGGATACCACCACCACATGTAGACTCCTGACCATGTTCTTCCGCTGGGAGGCAGTGTCTTTGCCTTCTGGGCCGCCAACGATCATCTCGATGAACTCCTTCGCTGGATTGTTGTTGTCCTTACCTCTTCTTCTTACTTGATCTTTCTCTTGAGGACGGGTCCAGGTGTTTGCTTTTGGATCCTTCTTAGACCCTATCGCATAACCTTCTCTAAGCTCTCCCTTCAAGGCCATCTCCTAGAGCACAGCCTTGACATTTCGACAATCTGCCGTGTTGTGGGAGTCAGATTGGTGGTAGGTTGATGTACCCAAGCTTAGGAAAAGCTATGGATAAATAAGGGCAGATTATAGAGGGGAATATATGGTGAAGAATAGGTTGGATTTGTGTATGAAATGGTGAAGAAAGTATGGTTGTTTGGAAGAGGTGATAGGGCAGAATGAAGGGCAGGAGAAAAGCAATATTATGGAGTGGTTTTTGATGAAGAAATGAAGTGTTTAAATGGGAGAAAGGGGATGGATGAAATTGGGAGAGAAAGAGGGAGTTCTTTTGTGGTTTTTGTTGTATAAGGATAAACCAAATAATGAATAAGAGATAAACACACTCTTATTTAATTTGGGGCTGTTTCTTTTCACACAATAATATTCACACCAACTCAAATATTACTTCAAAGAGTAAAGAAATGGAATACAATGAATGAGTTTTACAAGGCCATAGGGCCGAAATATATAGGCAAAACAGCAAGGAAACTTCACCACTCTTTCCTACAATTCAAGTGCATAATGTCTATTTGATGGATCCCATAGGTTGTCCTCATTGATCAAGGCTAAAAGGGGTTCATGGTGGTGAAATGGGCTGTCTTTGGGTGGGGAAATTCGGCCATGTGAAGGGTAGGGTGAGGGAGTGTGTCATTTTGTCCATTTATGCAAAGTAAGGTATGTGACACATCAAGGGATTGGTTGTTTATTCCTTTGGCCTTATTATAGGTTTGAGAAGTGATTTGGGGGATGTTTGGGTGGGGGAATTCGGCCATGGGACAAGGAAAGTGAGGGGGGGATGGTTTTGAATGATTTTCACACCAAGACAAAAGACATGTTTAATCCTTGTCTCCTGATTTGGTCTTTTGTGTTTTGTAATGGATTGGGATGAATGGAGATGGATTCTAAGGCCAAAAGGGAATGTATTTTCATGGGTTTGAAGTAGGGAAAGGTGGGGGAAGGTTTTATTCAATGTAGGGAATATTAGGAAAGAAAAAAACACACACAAAGCAATTTTGTTTGTCCTTATCTCTTGGATTTTCAGCCATGGCTTCAAAGGGAGGAGAAGGATTTTATTTTGGTTACTAAAGGAAAATGAAATACTTTTGGATATGTGGGAGTGTGTTAGGCTTGTAGGCATTTCGGCTTAGGTTGGGTTTTGGGAGAGAAGGGTCATGGTTCGGGCTTTAATGTGGGACGTGTCAATGAGTTCAACCCAAAATGGATCATAACACCTAGACATTAAACACTTGACTTGTTGTAACACTAGTGGCGTGTGTGAAGGTGCATCCCGGGGTATATCATAGGTACACCACTTCTCTGTACAGGACCTCTTGGGTTCTCTTTTCTTCTCATCCCTTATTTGATGGACCATCCCACCATATGTGGCTCTTGGCTTGGACCCTCCCATATGGTCGTCCTTCTTCGGCTTATCGGTTTTTACCCTCGTATAACCTTCCTTCAGTTCACGCTTGCTTTTGTTCAGGACCTCCGCATCGGCATACTCCCATGCCGTATTGTAGGCTTCCTGATAAAAAGAGGGTGGCCTCCTATAGAATTCGGTGTAGAGGTCCCCTGACCTGAAGGCATTCATCAGTAAAGACATGGCCGTCTTATCATCCATTTCTTCTACCTTATCAACCTCGTCTCTCCAACGGGTTAGGAATTGAGTCAAGGACTCCTTCTCCCTCTGCCCTACCGTGTTAAGGTAGGTGAACTTCTTCCTTTTGGTGCAGTTGTCCTGGTACTTCTTGCGGAAAATTTCAGCGAGTTTTTCGAACGACCTGATTTTACCATGAGGAAGTCTGTTAAACCATTCCACTTGCCTCCCTCTCAAGGACAAGAAGAAGAGTAGGCACTCAGCATCGGTACACCCGACCATTTGCGCTGCATTATGGAAGGTGTCAAGGTGGACGTTAGGATCCTCCTTTCCTGTGAATTTCTCCACGTCCAACTTGATCTTTCGCCTTAATTTGTGTGCATGTACCCTAGCCGAAAAGGGTGATTTTGCCAAGGTATGCTTCTTTGCTCCCGCCTTCTCTTCTACTTTTTCCTCGAGAGCACGTAGCTTTCTTGCTACACTCCCTATTTTGTCCAGGTCATCCTCATCATATGAGAGCCTGGTGTACGCCGACGCCCTGGGCTGACTTTCGGCCTCTTCCTCGTCCAGGCGAATCGTCTCAGATTCCCTAGAACGACGTGATAAGGCGGGACGACTCCCACCAAGCCTTTCCATCGCGCTAGTCTGGCCCATCTCAGGACCAATACGTAGCTTGGCAGACTTGTGGGGTCCATCCTCTTTGTCCCCTAGGCGTTTGAACGCTAAATCCCGAGTTTTGCTGAGCTTAGCTATTGCTTTACCCTTCCTTCTGCGGGCTGCCTCTTGCTCTGCATCATCGGCTTCTTTCGAATTACCCTAGACATTTGAGGGTGCCGCTTTGTCCATCGCCCCTGTCAAATTCACCGGACGTACAGGGACCATCCTATGGACGAATGTTGACAGGGTCGACATCGGAGGTGGCATATGGCTCATCATTGGTGGAATCATACCAGGATAGGCAAACGGCATGAAGCCTCCTGCCTGTTGCATCATGGCCATCACCTGTTGATAGCCCTGCAGAGCTTGAGCATTTGCCGGGTCAGCAGCAAATTGAGCCCAGTTTGATGGGTATGGCGTGAATGCCCCACCAGGCGTTGTTATCGAGCCTGAGAACATTGTCGTCGTTGGCATCAGAGTAGGGGTCGACATGATTGGGATCATCCCAAGCGATCCCATCGAGGAGGTCGGGGTGAAAGTCAACCCCATGCTTGTTATCATCAGCGGGATGGCGGGAGTGCTTTCACTCGCAGCCTGGCTTGAAACAACGGTGTGGTTGCTTGAAGACATGATCGTGGATATTTCGTGGGGATAAAGTTTTGACCTAGTCGAAAATCTTCACAAATCCGGCCCCACGGTGGGCGCAAAAAATGATGGTGTAAATATAGATGGGTGGGTTAACCGGGTTTGACCTAGACACACTCGACCCGTAGTAAAATACACACAACAAGAACACAAAGTATGACCTAGACCGGGTAAATCTCCTCAGCCCGAATTATATTTCTTACTCTGTCTCAAGAGTGTACTTTTTAGTGAGATAAAGATTGGATCCCTTCCTCCATCCATAATCATCATATTTATAGAAAAGGATTTGTGACCTTCCCCTGTTCATCCATGGACAAAATAGGAAGCTCGTGGGAAGGTCAGTGTACATAATTGAATTACTATTCAATCATGGACTTGTCATGAATACAACCAAGAAGCACTGTTCAATCAATGACTTTAAGGTAGATTCTCCCTAGCCAATCAACCCTGCAAGATGACAAATATTCCTTTCACTGTATGCCTCGTGATGGATGAGCGACGGGGTGGTCCCCTGGCCTCTGATGCTGATTGTCATGCTTGGGAGGATGACCGAACATTAGCTACGTAGAAGAATATGACCAATCACCTTTCCTCGAAGGCTGACCGGTCATTTCTTGAGTCCAACCCGTCATTTTGGTCTTCCAGAGTGTCCTTCATAACATAAGGTGATATTTTGGCTATCGCACAAAATATGACCAGTCACTTTTTTATGGAAAGTGACCGGTCAACTTTTGACCCGTCTCAATTGAATAGTTTGTCTCATTTTGTAATCGAGGAAAGTGACCGGTCAACCTTTGACCTGTCCCTTTCGGAAATTCGGGCCGGGTATAAAGATATACCCATCAAGTACTGTTGTTAGGTTCGGGCCTTGTGGAGCATGTTTGCATATCCAGTCAAAACGTATGTACGGGAGTCACTGTTCTACCTTAGGGATTCCTTGGTAGAGACTCCAACCCGCCCATTGAGGATTCTCTTTGGGTTTGTCCGAGCATCGACCTCGAGGGATCTGCTCGAGTGTCCGTAACTCTAGTCTGTTGAATTTAGCCTTAGTGTTGTAGGGGCAAAAATAGCCCTTTGGGAATAAATGAATTGGAGTAGTTGGATCCTTGTATCTGGAAATAAATGTTGATTGTTCACTGATGTTGTTGATTATATAAATGTGATACTATCTGCAAAATTAATTCTAGCGTTAGAAATTTCTCTCACTCAGCTTCCAGCTGAGCGTGTAGTCTTGTTGTCTTTGACTGCACTCTGGTAGGGATTTGGATCGAGAGGGCCATCCTGGAGGATGTTGACGTGTGACGCCGTGGGTGAAGTCACTATTTTTATTATGGACATTTAATTATTGCGTTAATTAATTATTTGAGTTGAACATTTATTGTAGAACATTATTTTGAGACTTTTGCACTTGATAGACTTTACTCTGAACTTTTCGTAATTAACTGGGCATCTGGATGTTTTTGAATAATTTTTCTGAATTGTTGTGATGTGAATATCAATTTAGTAGCAACCCGATTCGTTAACTCCTTGGTTCGGGTTACGCGAGTTGGGGTGTTACACTAGAAGTCCCTACTCCAGTACCTTAAGGCTCCTCCTTAAGGATTTCGAATCCACTAAGTCATGGTCTCTTGAACTCCGTCAAAGCACCACACGAGTTTGACAAACAACACTTGCCAATAGGATTCATTCCGAGGTTTCACAACAGCTATCACAAACCGCTTACAATGAAGGTTTCATGGCTATCTTCGACCGTTCCCCCCAAGGATTTCAAAGGCTATCCTTGAACTTTACCCAAGGATTTATACGGCTATCCTCGACCATTACAACTTGAGAATTTAACGGCTATTCTCGACCGTAAGAAAGTGTGCTTGAAAAGCACAAGAAATGGTTCTACACAACGGCTTGAATACAAAAATGAAGAACAAGACTTAGTCGGTGTAGAAAGAAATTATACTCTCTCAAAAATACAATATAAACTTATGAATATGGGAGTATATCACTAAAACAAAAGCTCAAAAGTGTGTGTATAAAAATCAAGAGAATGAGGCTCTTAAAATATCCAAAATATGAATAATTAAGAATAAAAGAGTAAACACACTTGAAATATAAAAGTAGGATGTTTGGAGCTTGATCAGTTCTTGTTGAAAAATGAAGTATTAGACTTGTATTTATAGTGGAAGGTGTTAACTAGCCGTTACGAGGTGATTAGGGTTGATTAAATTCAAATTCAGCAATCAGGAACAGTAGCTCCAACAGTTACAGTATCCTGTCACGGTAGCTAGGTACTGTACAGTAGCTAGGTACCTTCTTCGGCCAAAATTCTCTGGCGGTAGCTATCCTCTTATGGTACCCCTTCCGGTAGGAGGTCCCAGGCTGACGGTAGGGGGTACCTTCTAAGATTGACTCACGGTACCCCTTACGGTACCCCTCGTGGTACCCCTTACAGTACGTAGGTACCTGCTGACCGTTTTGATGATTTTTTCATTTTTGTTCAAATCATTTCCAATTTTGTTTAATACCTATTGGATGTTTGAAAATGATTATAAGAAGGCTTTAAACATATTTTTTTAGTGTTTTTGAGCTTGTGAATATAGATATATAAAATCATATCCTTACAATAGTTTCTACCTATATTCTACGCTAGTTTAGTCTTTCGAATTCATTCTTGAGAACCGAATCTTAATGGATTCTTATTGTACCTGAAACACTTAAACAAATGTTAGCTCTTATATTGTTTGTTAACATTAAAACACGAGGCTTTATTAAACAGAGGCTAACAATATGATCTCATTTTCATAAGAATAAGTAGTAAAGAGAAAAAAATAAGTTTAACGAAACGCAGCCTTACTACATAATTTATTAGTGTCAACAATTTGCAAAATTTTATCACAAGAAAGGAATCTCATCAAGATGTATGATGAAACCTAACATACAAAAAGCTTATGACACGGTAAGCTAGAAAGCTATTAGAGGTATCTTATACAATCTTAAATTTCTAGCCCTTCATTATGTAGATTATGTTTTGTATCTCTACCCCATCCTACACTATTAATGTAAATGAAGAGCATCATGGTTATTTCACAAGTGGAAAAGGATTGAGACGGGAGGGGAGAGGGTGGGCAAATTCTTTTATTTATTCTAGTTATGGAGTACTTCCTCCCTCCCAAATTAAATTAGCTCTTTATTATTCAAAAAGACAAACTTCATTCACTTTCTTTTCATATTTTCGTTAGTCATTTGATAAAATAATACTGTCATGTAACCATTAGTTTTGTAGACTTTTTTATGTAGTTTTTAAATGTGTAATTTTATTTTTTAAATCTACACCATTTTTCATATAAAATGGTCTATAAATAACCTCAGTCAGACATCGTAACCGAAACAAGCGCTCCAAATTGGGACGGAGGGAATGTTATTTATACAAGAAATTTTTGTAGCTTGGCTTGAGAATTGATTTTTTTTTGGAATTGTATTTGTGATGAAATTTGGATGATTGTAAAAAGGTGTATTTACTTTTAGTACAATCAATTTGGCTTGAGAACTAGTTTCTTTTGTATTATATTGATTTTAGATTTAAAAAATAATTAGTTTTTTATATTGTATTGATTTTAGAGTTAAAACTGGTTTATTTTGTATTTTATTTATCTGAACTAAAATAAAAAGTGATCCCACTTTTTTGTGGTCTATCAAAAAGTAATCACCTCAAAGTTGTAGCTGAGTTCAATTCAAGTGTTTAAAATTTGTTAATAATTTGAGGCAAATTTGTCTTGTATGTTAAATTAAATTTTTTTTAATACTTATTTCAATAAGGATGGACTTAAACAAAACTTAAAAAAGTAAAACATAGGATTCTTTTACGCAATTCAATAGAAAATGAAATTGGACGACAAAGATTTTTGTACCCCAAACTTCATTAAACTTTTTGCTTCAAGAGTATAACGGCAACTTAAAATGCAAAATAACTACAAAAATTAGGATGATTTCAAATAGCATTTAAAGGTGATATTATTTTGAAGGTAAATTCTTTTGTGCTTCTTAGGTCCATACTTATTATATGGACCTTGAGAGATGAAATGGTTAAATGTAATCAGCCATGTAAAATGAAAGAGGTCCAACTAAGAGCTCATAAAAAATATGTGAAAAAGTCCACATTTCACATGTGGAGCTTAGGACCACGATAACACAACTCTATTTTGAAAGACCACATATAGGTGATTATTTCACAATTTCTTCTATTTTAAATAGCCCCACAATAGATTTATCTTATACAGAGTACAACATTGACAATTAGCCATATTAAATTTTACATCCCCGTCTCACAAACTCTTTCTCTTTTCTTTTTTTGGTTCCACAATCCTTTGGTCCTTTCTTCTAAAAAGTTACATTTATTACATCATATCTATTCAATAATATATCTCCCCCATTAGGAATATAGTTATTTATTGATCGACTATGCATTTATTGTTGATGGGATATGCCACCTCCTCCTATCTCACAAAGTGTTTCTTGTTTTCATTTTTATAAGATTTAAGGAAGATATATTTTTGCATTGATTTTTCTATATTACCATTGACGTGTGTGTGTGTAACGCCCCAAAAATATGTCTATCAGAATTAATTAATTGATAATTAATTAATTACTGAGAAGGACCCAAAAAAATAAGTGAATTATAAAGTTTGTCAATAATTAATGAAAATTATATCGTTGTGTAGAGTTTGACTGTCTGACCGCAACGGTTCAATCGGATTTTAATTCGGAGAAAGTTGGACCAAAAAGTGTACCCCGACTGGGACCAAAATTAGTCCCAATCAGGGACTTATGTTTAAAATCCGTAGAGATAGTCGCTTGCTCCACTCAACCGCAGGAACAGGAAACAGGGACCTCTCCCATGGCTTCTTCTCACTCTCCCTTCCTATATAAACCCCTCTAAACTCCATTATTCTTCACCATTCTTATTCCAAAAGAGAG